AATATGAATGGTATATAAAGAACAGTTTGCAAAAACAAATAAAACAACTGGCCAATCCACTCAGGAAGTGAGTGTAGATTCAACGTTTGATAGACGGTTGAGTCGACAAAGCCCTGTGTCATAGTCTTACACCGAGTAGTTTAGATACCGTGAGCTTACATGTGTGTGTGTGTGTGTGTGGGATCCTTTGTTTAGATACGCACACACGCGCACACACAGCATGAGCAACCAAACAGATCATTCATACAGTTCCATACTGAACAGCGCAGTTCGAGGGGCCCTTAATTCTGACACACAGCCACAATCTGAACAGATAATTCATCCAAAATGGTTGCGAGAGATATGGCGATTCAAACCGCCGTGTCGCACTGGGTGACACGTAGTTGTCCACCTTTAGACGAGAAACTCTTGAGGCGCTCGAGCAGCCCAAGTGAAGTTGGCTCGTGGCAGCCAACGCAACTGCCTGGAAGATCTAACTTCTGCACGGCAAGGGGCCCTATGATCAACCCGCACTTGAGCAAATTCTTTAAAAGGCCAGGCATCCGCAAGCATGCGTAGTGTTGCCAAGGCCTGTCCGGTGCATGTGTGCGAATGCGGGGCAAACGGGCCTGTCCTCACTTCCCGAGTTCCTGTAATTTAAGCTTTTTGGAAAGACAATATTAATGGTAAAGAACAGTTTGCAAAAACAAATAAAACAACTGGCCAATCCACTCAGGAAGTGAGTGTAGATTCAACGTTTGATAGGACCCACACTCTACGGCGTCAGGACCAAAAGGCGATTCTGAGATTGGGTTGTTCCCAACCGCCGTGTCGCAAGATTTGGATGACACCTGGATATTTTATTTGTTTTTTCCGAGGCGCTCGGCGAGCGTAAGTTGGATTACGTTCCGATGCATTCGCTGCCGAAGGGGCTGAAACAGGTGCGGTGATTTGGTGCCAATTGCATGGACATCCATTGTCCCGGCATGAGTGTTAGAATCACAGCAGTTTTGCAGAGCATGGATTTTTTTGGCGGGGCTCTGGGTGATGCGCAACGCGTCTGATGTGCTCGCCAAAAGCCGACTCTGCAAGCTCCTAGCTCAGCCACTTTCTCCCTTAAAAGTGACGTCGGGCGCTCCATTGCGCAGAACGTTTCGATGGCCGTTGTTTTTCCCCCGTACAGCTGCTGTCTTCCGATTTTCACCACCAGGTGTTGCAGCAAAAACACTTCGCCAGCCAGAGGACCCTAGTCCGAAACCTCCCGAAAAACCATATATGGTTTGTCCTCAAGTTGGCCTTTGCCCCTCGGTCCAGGAAATTCCGGGGATCCACAGTCTCCGTCACTTGAAAACCTGCCGGCCCAAATGTTTTTTTGTGAGGACGGACATGGTGAGCTGTGACGTATTGCAAAAGAGAAAGGTACGAAGGGCCAGAAGTGCGGTGGTAGCTTCCCCGTTTTGTTTCAAGGATTGGAGATCGCTGTGCATGTTTCCATGATTCATATTTGGCTCAGGACTAGCCGTAGCACACTCATGTGAAGCCATCCAGGGCGAGGAGGGCATGACGGAAGAGGTGGTGCAGAATGGGAAACCTCACTGCCGTGGTTTGAAGAGCCAGTTCGGTTCTGCGATGCGGCAGTGAGAAAGGAGGAGGGCTTCGTCATGACGTAGGAGGCCTAGGACATCGAAAGGAACGGTGTAAAAGGAAGGTCAACTTCCCTGAGCAAGGATCATGGGGAGCCAGAGCTGTTGCTGACTTGGGCCAAGGAAAGTTTATGTACATACCTATGACATAGGTGTATGTACCTGGAGTCTCCATGACCCTTTAAACATGGGATCACCCAAAATAAAGGGGTCATGAACCCATGTTTATTTCGGGTCATGGAGACTCCAGGTATGCACTGAATTTTGTGCGTTGCCTACATCATGGTTGTTGTTGGGAGAAAGTTTTTCATTTTTGCTTATTGTGGTTTAGTGGTTGAAATCCAACCACTTAACTGCTAAAATTTGAGAATTTTAGCTCCCCACGTCAGCCAAGACATGCGTACACACACACCACACACACCACACTAGACTAGTGCAAGGCTCGGCCCAAGGCTGCAGTGCAGCGGAAACGGCTCCCAACTCCTCCCTGGCGGAAGGATCTTTGGGGAATCCGATCAGCTGCATGCCTAAAGCCCCATTCCGGCTTTCCGTTCCTTTCGCAGGGCTCCTTAAAAAAAATCATTTTGCAACCATTTGAAACATGGCTTTTTCCACCCCAACAAAGGCACACCGCCATTTACCATGCAATGTTCAGGTGTATAATGCATCCGGATCCCTGTTTTCGCTTGTTCCTTTTTTATTCCCTTGCCGTCTTTTCCTCTCCACACCCGTTCCCTCCTTTTCGGGGTAAGCCGCAGCGCCTGGCTCAGGAAGTCCAAAGGCTGAAGCAACAAAGTGCTTTGGCCGTTTCCAGAGACATGATGGGGTTCTTTGAATTACTGTAGGTACTGTACCTCTTCAGGCGGTTGGTTTCCTTTTTGGTTTCCCTTCTTTCCCGATTTTTTTTGTTGTTCTTTCTGTGACCATTTTTTCGTGCGGTCCCCCCCCCAAAAAAAAAAACAAACAGAAGAACTCGGTCCCTCCAAAAAAGAACACCGGAAGAACTCGATCGGATGTTTTCTTTTTTTATTATCAAAATTAACAACTTTTGGGTAGTGAGCCTTCGGAACATTTGGATCATCCCGGTTTCCTTCCGCCATGGCCCCGGTTGCCTTGGATTCGTTGACGGACTACACGGTGGCGGAGGAGTTGGACCGAGCGCCTTAGGCTGCACCAGCGCGCTCGGCCGAAGATTCGGAGTCCCAACTGCTTTCGATTTGGTTCGATCCCTGTTTTGTGTTTTCTCTGAATGTCAGTTTGGTTCTGATCCTCTTTGTTTTATGAAAGTGAGCTTGGTTCTGATCCATTTTTTCTGCTGAAAGTCAGTTTGTTCCTGACAGTTTCTTTCTCCTAAAAGTGAGTTTGGTTCTGATCCTTCTTTTGTTTTGAAAAAACTCCTTTTTTGGGGGGTTATGATCATTTGCTTTTTTGAAAGTGAGTTTGGTTCTGATCCTGTTTCCTGCTGAAAGTCAGTTTGTTCCTGACCTTTTGTTTCTCCTAAAGTGAGTTTGGTTCTGATCCTCGGTTCGTTCTCTTTTTTTTTTCGGAAAGTTGTTTTTTTTCTGGTTATGCTCATGCATTTTCTGAAAGTGAGTTTGGTTCTGATCCTCTGTTTGTTCCTATGAAAGTCAGTTTGGTTCTGATCCGCTTGTTTTTCTGAAAGTGAGTTTGGTGTTAAATCAGTTTGGTTCTGATGTTCTTCCTTTCTGACAGTGTGTTTGGTTTTTATCCTTTCTTTTGTTGAAGTTCAGTTTGGTTGTGATCCTCTCTTTTGCTGAAAGTCTGTTTGTGTCCGATCTGTTCTGTTTCTGAAGGTCGGTTTGTCTCTCTTTTTGTGAAAGTCAGTTTGGTTCTAATCCTCTTTTCCTTCTCAAAGTTTGATTTTGAGCCTTTCTTTTCTGAAAGTCAGTTTGGTTATGATCCTCTCTTTTCTGTGAAAGTCAGGTTGGTTCTGGTCCTTTCTTTTGCTGAAAGTGAGTTTGATTCCGATCCTCTTTTTTCTGAAAGTCAGTTTGGCTCCGATCCTCTTTTTTCTGAAAATCAGCTTGTTTGTGGTTAGCTTGTATTTCTGAAAGTCAGTTTGGTTGTGATGCCTCTTTTTCTGACAGTCAGTTTGGTTCTGCCGAGCTCTTTTCTCAAAGTCGTTTTAGTTCTGACCCTCTCTTTTCGTGAAAGTCAGTCTTATTATGATCCTCTTTTTTCTCCTGAAAGTAAGTTTGTTGCTGATCATCTTTCCTTTCCTGAAAGAACGCTTTTTACTCTCTGTCAGAAAAGGCTGACCATCAGAACAAAGTCAACGGAATAAGGACTCCGGCGTTCAGAAACCGACCCGTGAGGCCTGTGGGACGCTTCAACCCTTGGTTGTGTGGGCGCATCGGGGACTTTTGGTTCCAACTTTGTCCCTTCATGTTTGACGGCCGGGGTCAGCATGTGGGCAGGGTCTCTCGTACCAACATGCAGTGAGGGGCAGGGGTGCGGACTCCAAGAGACGAGAGTGCGAGTGGTTCTCGGGTTTTTGGATCCTCGCGGGCCCGCGGGTGCCAGCCATTTCTTCGGGCAGAAGTGTCTTGAAGCTTGAAGCTCGTGGACGATTTGTTCGTGCCTTGCACTCCTTGCCCAGTTGTTTTCTATTCCGGAGCCGAAACGGCGAGTTCCAAAGCGGCGAAACGCCGCTTTGGAAGACTCTTTAATCAGTAACTTGCAGTGTTTTCGGTTTTGTGGAGTTCGCGAGGCCTCGGCGCCTTGCACAGGTCTCATTTTGAAGGTGAGCTCGCTTTGATCAGGACGTTCCCATATGTGTCAAAGAGGCCCCCAACAACAGGGAAATTTGTGGTGGCTTCCCTTCAAGCCATACCCTCAACAGAAACAAATACACAGATCAGGTAACCCTTAGTTGCTGGTTTGGATTGCTGGTTTGGGGATTTGAACCCCTGGTTCTCGTAGAGGGTAAATGGGAAACCCCTCCTCAACAAGCAAACCACAAGGAAAAGCTATCCGGTTTTTCCCCAAGAGCTTATCCTTATCCTGAGATAACCCCCCCCCCCCCCATTGCATTTCCAAGGGGTCCAGTTGAACGAGGGAGCCGACCAACGACCGAGGCTCGCAAGGAGGCGCTGGAGGGACACTCAACTCCGCCCGCGATGATGATGCGTCGCCCGGCAGTGGACTTTCAGGGCCCCAAGGTGGTTTCCCTTGAACCCCAAAACTATCGGCTTGTAACGGTTGCCCTTTTTGTTTTGCTCAAACAAAAATAATCTAAAAAGAGGTAGGCCTGTTTTGAGACGGCGGTGAAGCCTTGCTGAGGAAGAACTGAGGCCTATTCAGACCTTTCTGTCCCTTTTATTGGTAGAACGAATTTTTGGGGGGGTAATAGCGGGGTGCTTCTGCGGGATGGGTTTATGTGTGTGAGGGAATACTAAGGGCTTATTTGTCGGGCATGGCATTAGACACTCAAGGAATCCGATGGCAGGAATGGTTGTCATGTTCATACCTGGAGTCTCCTTCTGACCCGAAATAAAAATGGGTCCATGACCCCTTTATTTTGGGTAATGACCAACCATTTTTAAAGGGTCAGAAGGAGACTCCAGGTAAAGTTGGGGGGCAATCCAATGTCTTCAAAAGCCTCGCCTCAAGCTGATAGCTTGGATCTTGGCTGTGCCGGTGTCAAAAGTGGCGTGATGTGTTTAACAACTTTTCACAATGATATTTGTGAAGGACACAGATATGGGTATGGGTCAAAATCAAAGTACCAGGATATGGACCGCAGGTTTTCGTCCTTGGCTTTTTTTGCCAGGGTTCCAGGTACCTAATTTTGAATATGTGACCGCTTTAGAGGCTCTGGGTGAAGGCGGTATTGATCACCTCGCTTGATTCAGGTAAGTGTTTGAAACCACGTCCAGGCCACAGACCTGCGTTACATGGGGCTCGAACAAAACTTTGATGTGTGCTAGGCAGCTTTTGGGTGCAGAGCATCTGGCCTGCATAGTTTTGTTGCCAAGATGCCCTGCTCCTTCCGCTAGGGCCGAAGTAGACTTGAAGCTCAGCCGAAAGGAGTCAAGACGAGTTTTGACATTGGATCGCATCGTCTTCGTCCCAATCCTGCCTGTTCCCATTGATATAAACACACACGAGCCGTTCGTGGCCCAGGCGAAACAGAAAAGCTGGAATTGCCAGACCTCGAAGGTCTCGAGGGACGCTTGGAACAGCAGCACCTTGGACAGACGGCTTCTTTGTGTGCGCTTGTTTGGTTTGATTGCTTGCTTGTTCGTCTGTTGGTTTGTTTGTTTGTGTTTGGTTAGTTGGTTGTTTGTGTGTCTGCGTGTCTGTGTGTCTGAGTGTCTGTGTGTCTGTGTTTGTGTGCCTGCGTGCCTGCCGGCCTGCCTTCCTGCCTGCATGTCCGTTTGTCTGCCTGCCTGTCTGTCTGTTTGTCTGTCTGTCGGTCTGTCTGTCAATCTTTCTGTCAGTTTCTTTGTTCGCTTGCATATTTGTTGTTTGATTTGCTGGTTTGCTTGGCTGGTTGCTTGTGTTTGTTTGCACGTTTGATAATTTTCCTTGCTCGCCTGCTCGTTTGCTCGCTTGCTCGCTCGTTCGCTCGCTTGCTTGCTTGCTTGCTTGCCTGCTTGCTTCCTTGCCTGCCTGCCTGCCTGCCTGCCAGTTTGTTTTGCTATCTACCTGCCTGTGTCACTTGTGTGTGTGTTGTGCCTATTCCTAGGTGTTTACTCAGTGCCTACCGGGTACTTACCCAGAGCCTGCCAGGATCTTTTCGAGATATGCATGCAAACTGGTGCGATTCATTGGCAATTGCAAGAGCTTACTCAGAGGGGCCAATGACCTCTTGGGTTGCGCAACGCGTTGGTATAGTTTGCCATGTCCGGCGCCCTTACCAACTGCGCTTATGCTTGCACCTGTCCCATGTGATTTTTTTGGAGGATTCCCTTCTTACGGTTGTTTCAGCCTGCCCACTTTTGGGCTCCCCCCGGCTTTTCCCCTCGTTTTTGGAGCTTTTTCCCGTTTTGAGGTGTCCAACAAAGGTAAGGAGCCTGGCCTAAAGAAAACCGAAACCGCACAGCTCCGCCGCTCAGGCACAAGGATGTGATCGACAGGTTGCTGACGCAGGAGCTGAGCTCTTCATGTTTCCGGACTTTTTGGGATCCACTTAGGTGAGTTCAAGATTTGCAGTTGGAACCTAGCAGATCGCAACTAGTCTTTTGAAGCTTCCTGGCTTGGGGGTGTCATTGCGTCGTTCACCCAGTATGTAGGGCTGACAGTCATGCCGCCAAGAAAGTTCCACTTCACAACTTATAGAGATTTAAATGGGATATCCCTCCGTGTGAAACGGGAAAATAATCCACAGCAAGGGATATAGGCGGATGTCAGAAACGTGGTTGCGGGAGACCTCATTCCGCTTCACCAATCCAGTGTATGCGAATGGCCATCACCCCGATGTTATTCTCTCAACTGTTTCGGCCTTTTAGCCTACTGTTAGGTTTCAGAGAAGATCCTTTGGGACACAGGCAGCATTGCTTTCTAGGGGTTGATTCCCCATTCTTTTCAACCATCGTTCTTTTCAAAAACCGATCGCTGTTTCCCCTGGGGTTCTGATGGTTCTCTGGAAAGAAGGATCCCTGGAAAGAATGGACATGGAAGTGTCCCCTAGAGCTGTGTTGTTCCTTTTTGCAAAACAGAGGGGTCAACTCAAGAAAGGCAACGGGCCGTCCGAATGTTCCGAATGATCCTTCGCCACATGACCGGCATTTCGCAACGAGCCGGTGACAAACGACCTCCGTTTCCGTGGCGGGCGCGCGGGCGCGCGCGCGCGCGCGTTTGTTTTCCTTTTCCGAAGCTCTCGGCGCTTTTTTCGATTCCGTCCTTTCGCCTTCGAAAGCTCTCGCCCCGTCGGGGCGGGGGACTTGGGACGCCGGTGCCACTTTCCTGCGCTTGGAATCTGCCTGGAGTCTCCATGACCCGAAATAAGAATGGGTCCATGCCCCCTTTATTTTGGGTAATGACCCCATTTTTAAAGGGTCAGAAGGAGACTCCAGGTGGACTTTGTCAGAGCCACAATCAAAACCGAGGGTGCAGGAGAGCCGGCAATGATCTGACAATAAGAGCAGAAAACACGAGTGGGCACGCGCAAAGCTGCCGTGCAGCTACAACGGAGCACTACAAAAAAGCCGCCGTTGGTGACGTGGGTGGTTGCTACAAAGTGTAGTGGCGCCAGGAAAAGAAAAAACAATCAACAAAGCGAGTTAGCAGGTCGTTAGCCATTTGCACTGTAAACGACTAGGGGGGCTTTTAAGTGGTTTACAACCTGGGTTACAAACTTCTCAACTTGGCCTATTGTGAAGGCATCCTTTGTGAAGGCAGGCCAAGCTCCTGCACACTGGAGTCTTCAATGCATCGACTGCGCCTGTGAAAGGTTCAATGGTTCTGTTCGGGTGGGTCCTTGTTTCGAGGGTAGCCTTTTTGGGGTTGTTTTGAAGGGAGGCCAAAAGGAAACCACCTGGAGTCTCCATGACCCTTCAAAAATGGTTGGTCATTACCCAAAGTAAAGGGGTCATGGACCCATTTTTATTTCGGGTCATGGAGATTCCAGGTAGCCCTATTTGAGGAGTTCTCGCATTTAGAGACAAACCCATGTTTGGATGACTCACCTACGCTTGCCCCATTGACCTAATGTTTGGCAATAATTTGCACGGCAATTAAGCGGTCCACCGCGCAACATCATTTGATAGGGATTGGGGGCAATAATTCTGCCGTTTGCTTGAAAGAGCACCGGCACGCCAGTGAGGGTACCCCTTTTTTCTGAGTTTAAAGGGAAACCAAGAAACAAAACCACGTCCCCCTATTTTGCGACTCCTTCAGTTCGCTCAGTCACCAGCTTTCCCAGGGACCGTCGAAAGAAAAAGAAGGGACAACACAAAACAACAAACACGAGACTCCCAAGCCAACAAAGAAAATTCGCGGATCTGATCCAAGCCAACAATTTCTGCGCAGGTTCGATTTGTTTTTCGGAGTGTCGGCCTACGGCTCTAGGCCACATGAAAGTTCCCATGTTTGAGGGTATCCCGCAAGTCTGGTGACGCGAATTTTAATGCCGGAATCATGGGGGTTGAGCAAGGCATTTCTTAATTATTGGGCCAGGAACTATTGCATGGCCGAAACAGATGGTTGGGCTGATGACTTCCATGCGATCAACTGCCTCGCAAGGAGCAGCTCCTCGTTCAGATTTGCTCCTCGATCCTTCTTCCAGCAAAACGGAAGGTGGCAAGAATCGATGAACGGAAAATCGATGAAAGCCAGGGTGCGCCTTGGCTGATCACCGAGAAACCTGAATGTGGGTTCATCTCGAGCTGGGGGGGACCTTCCAAACAGGTGGTTTTCTTTTGGTGTCCATCCAAAATGTATACTCAAAGTGGAGCTGGTTCGGGGCTTGGGTTTTCCCCGGGTGACGCATTCATTGGAAGCATCGGTGATCGGTGTGGAAACCTGGGAGCAAGGTGCGGCACAGAGCCCTGTTTACCCGGCGATGTCCTCGATATCTTTTGATCGCTAGGTGTTCGCACGCTGAAAAAGGCGAAGACATACTGTGGATGGTTGCGAAATCCATTTCGCACCATCTAAGAAACCCTGGTTTCTGATGATGCTCTTGTCAATACCTGGAGTCTCCATGACCCTTAAAAAATGGGGTGGGTCATGGACCCATTTTTATTTCGGGTCATGGAGACTCCAGGTACCAACAAACAATGATTTCCCATGGCTTCAAAGTGCAGGATTTCGTCCATCCACAGGATCGAGAGGCTGAAATCTCACCAGTTTCAGGTGGCTGATCCATCGGCGCGTACTTTGGGATATTTATCTCATGCCCGTGTGGACATGTTTGGGGCACCCTTGCTGAATGAGGGCGATGTATGATAATTTGGCTGTGGGCGATTGCGCCACTTTGAGGGTGGTTGAGGGATTACGTTTCAGGCCTTTGGGGTTTCGGGCTGTGTACAGAGGCTGCTTTCCGAGCGCAAAATGCGGGAGTCAGTTGCTCAGTTGCGATGCGAGGGTGGGTTTGAGGTTGAGGGCGCGATGAGCAAGTGGTTGACCGCGGCCAAATGTGGGGGCACTGAGAGTTAGTTCATCAACCACTGTTTCTTCCCACAGTTTCTTTAAACCATTTTGTTGTGGACGGTTGGGTGCTTTGTCGAAATTCAGGACCCCCCATGTCTTTTTGTTGGCTGCACCCTTTGTCACGGCGAAAATTGTGGGTGGGTTAACCCCACGGGAGCCGGGTGGGTAACTTTTTCGGTCTCCAACAACTTTGCCGAAGGAAGCGATGCAGCCGGCCCCGAGCTTGCCTCATGCGGCCAGTCCGACCTGAATGTTCTGCGTGTTTGTCGGGTCTTTCTTTCCTTGATGGCTCCCAGCCATCTCCTTAGCCTTTAGCTTTTTGGTGTTTAGTGCGGTTTTGCATTTAGCCCACGAAAAGCTAAACTTTTTGTCGGGGATCTGAAAATGGACAGCCTAGTTTCTTTCTTGTTAGGAAATATCTTCCTTCAAACACACCGCGATGTAGTCTTGCCTCTGCCTCTTTCTTTTCTTTGCATGTTTTCGGGTCTTGCTTTCTTTTGCTTTGGGGTCCTTGGTTTTTGGCTCCGCCCTTCTCCATGGTTGTTGTTGGGAAACATTTTACATTTTTGCTTATTGTGGTTTAGTGGTTGAAATCCAACCACTTAACTGCTAAAATTTCAGAATTTTAGCTCCCCTTCCAACGTCAGCCAAGTGGGGTCCTGGGGTTTTGGGTCCGAGGTGCTGTCCAGCGGGTTCAGAGAGGTGGGCCACAACAACTCCAACGCGTCAGCCACGGAATCGCAGATGCCGAGGCACAAGGCGTCCAAGGCTGATGCGGGGGCCGTTTTTTTTTGTTTTTGGAAAATCGGACCCTAGGGCAAAGGGGGGAATGACCACTTTGTCTGTTTTGTTGGTTTGTGTTTTTTTTGTTTAAATCGGACCCCCCTCTTTATCGGACCACCCTAAGACAAAGTGGGGAATGACCACTTTGTCTGTTTTTTTTTAATCGGACCCCCCTAGGGCAAAGTGGGGAATGACCACTTTGTGTATTTTTTTTTTTTAATCGGACCCCCCTAGGGCAAAGTTGGGAATGACCACTTTGTTGTTTTTTTGTTTAAATCGGAACCTTCTGGGGCAAAGTGGGGAATGACCACTTTGTCTGTTCTTTTTTAATCGGACCCCCCTAGGGCAAAGTGGGGAATGACCACTTTGTTGTTTTTTTTTCCCCAACAGCTGAAAGTTTTGGGGTCTCAGCCCAGATAGGCTCCGGGGTGGTCCGGGGCGGCCCTGAGGTAAGGTTCCATGAGGGTTTCACCAGGGTTCCACCAGGTTCTGCCACAGCTGCGGGGTGGTGCGAGCACTAAAAAGAGCACCGCATGCTGTTGGGGTTATTTTTTTGGGTTTAAATCGGACCCCCCTAGGGCAAAGTGAGGAATGACCACTTAAAACAAAAAAAAATCGGACCCCTCGGGGACAAATTGGACCCCCCTAGAACTGTGGGGAATGACCACTTTGTCGTGTTTTTCTCTTTTTTTGGAAAAATCGGACCCCCCTAGAGCTGTGGGGAATGACTACGTCGGTGTGTTTTTTGGTGTTTTTTTTTTGAAAAAGTCAGACCTTCTAGGGCTGTGGGGAATGACCACTTTGTCGTTGTTTTTTTTGTTTTTTTTGAAACATCGGACCCCCCTAGAAAAAACAATAGAAAATTCCCCGGGGCCCAGGGCAAAGTGGGGAATGACCACTTTGTGGTACAAAAGAGAGGGCTTCCCAAAGAGGAATTTGTGAAATAGAAAGGGAGATGCCCTTGTATCATGGGGGTACACCCCTTGATCCCACAACCCTGCCCCAAAATAGCTTACTCTCTCACCTGACGTTTGGGGGGGTGGTTTGGACCATTTTCCTTGTGAAGGGGCCGGGTCCCGAACGTCGTCCATGTGAATTGGGTCGTGGTTTTCCTTTTGGTGGTGCCCACACCCGTGGGCTGGGGGCTGTGGGAAGCCAAAGAACCGAGCGAGAAGAGGTTGTTTGCTTCTTGCGGGAAGGCACGTTGGCATGGGAAGCCAAAGAACCCAGAAACAAAGGAGAAAGGGACAGGCAAAGAAACCACTTTCGATGTTTGCATTTGAGTGGAGAAATTGACGTCTGAAAGAAAGCAAGGATAAAGCAGGAGACAATGCACGTGCCCGGATCTGGGCAAATTATATAGCGACCTCTGGAAGCTAGGTCTCACAAAGCTCGGGGAGTGCTCAATGCTCCACTGCATGGGTCTGGAAGGGTTCCAGGGTTCCACGGAGCGGTTGCTGCAAATGGCGTCGCGGATGAAAACATCACCTGGGCATAGTTTGTCAAATCTTGCTTCAGGCAACCCAAAGGAAGCCAACATGCACGTGTTTGGGAGTCCCCCCATCTTTTGGACCCAACCTGAAAAGTTATGGGTTGGGGCTGATTTCTTGTCATGCGAACGGCCACAGACGGGCCGAGTTTCCAGTACCTGATCGGGGGTCAAATTGAGACAAGCGCCGAATTCAGACCGGGATCCCTTTTCAGGTTTTGGTCAGTACCACCTTCAAAAGTCCAGATCAGCGCCTTACCACTTGCATCTTGGAAGGCTTGACATCGAAATTGTTGGCTTGGGCTTCAGTAAGTATGTGGGAGGACCTGCGATGTTGTTTCGCCGCCATAGGTTGATGTTTTTTCCTAGAGCTTCGCTCTCAGAAGCTGTGCTGGCCGTTCCCACCCTTCCCACCCTTCCACCCTTCCACCGTTCCCACCCCCCCACCCACCCACCCACCCACCCACCCAGCCACCCACCCTAGCGTGCGCCTATGCGTCTGTGCGCCTGTGTTTGCGTGCTTGCGTGCGTGCATGCGTGCGTGCATGCGTGCGTGTTTGCGCGCGTGCGTGTGCGCGCTTGCGTGCGTGCGTGCGAGCTTGCATTCGGCGCGCGCGCGCGCGCGGTGTGGCGCACACCCAAAGCCAATCAGACGAAGACTGCATCCCTGGGGTCCCCTCTCAGCCCCACAGAAACCCGTGGCAAAATAAGGAACATCACGGTATTTACAGTTTTTTTTGGAAGGTTGGACAACGTGGCATCAGGAGCCCATCGCAGGGCCAGGGATGTCGGGGATGTGTTGGGATCCAAATGTCTGGGCTGGCCTGTGTGCTGGTGATGCAGGGGATGTTGAGGAGCTTCTGCAAACACGTCGGTATACCCTACGAGAAGGGTTGCCCTCCTTCGAGCTCGAATGTGACAACCACGGTGGGAGGTGACCAGCCAGGAAACCTGTAGGCCATGTCTCAAGAAATCGCCCGTCTCTTTTGAAATTGTTTATATGGCTCTGAATTTTAAGAGGAAACCACCTCACAAGTGGTTGGTGGACATGAATCCCCGCCTAAATGATGTCCACCAAAGGTGCCCCCTATGTTTCGTTTTACTAAACATGGCCCATAGCCAATGCCAAGCATGTTCTTTTTGTGTTGGAGCAAATGCTGAGGTAGACCTGGGGAAGAACACAACATACTGTCTGGATCGCAAACGGATCGGAAAATGGCAGGTTTCCAATGAGCCAGTCAAACGGATTCCGCAGGTGTCGTTGTCCTTCACCCCGAAGCTGTGGCTTGGCGCTTGTGCCAAACCGGGGCATGTGTAAAGGAAGCGGCAAGAGTCAGTGAGGGTACCAGGGCCATTGAGGGTACCGACATTGTTGGGGATTGAAAGGGGCACCAAAAGAAGAATCAACGTGTTTAAGGTTTTTTGGTGTCCTCTTTGTTGAGCTGACGTGGGGCCGAATTCCTGCCTGCCAAAGCACCCAGTCGTGCTTGCTTGGCCTGAGGATCATTTGTTTTTGGTGATGTAAACTTAAATCATCCTATCCACTGTTGTCGCTTCCCTTGCCGTTTGGAATCTTCGTGTTTTCCAGAGCTCGAGAGCAGGGAAGAAAGATGAATCTGCCTTCGGAATGCGAAGTTGCCAGGTTCAGCAGGTTCGTCCGGGGCAATTATTTCTTTCATTCTGTTCGGCTGCGGTGCTCAAAACCTCAAAGCAGTGACCTTATCAACAGGTTGGGACACTTGGCATTGATTGCATGTTCCCTTCAGACCTACCTTGGACAGGGCCTTGGGAGCAGCCCCTGGGTACTTGTGACCCAATGAGTCAAAGCCCCCCCGCTGTTTTTCGCGAGTTCTTATGAACAGCCAAACCGACCAGGATTTTCATGGGTGAAGCCTTCACAACTTGGGGTCCAAATTGGTTTCCTAAACCCTACCCACTTTGATCAGCCCATTTGCTGAGCCTTTTGTTGTGTATCGAAGGCGGATTGTATAGATCAGTTTTCCCACAACAAACGCCCATGCACGCTCACCCTTTGAGTGAATATATTTATCCAGCAACATGGAGTGTTCTCTTGCAACCCCATTTCGATCAGATTAACCACAGTGGAGCTTTAACTTTCATATATCACTGTGCGAAACCATGTTTTGCGCCTTTTGGGCCCCCCTATGTTTGAAGAACCCACAAAGTAATATATTACATATATAGATATATTTTGAACCTGGACAATTGCCAAAATCACTAGGAAAAATGCTACTTTTGAGAAACATGTGGTATGTTTGCCTCTGCGAAACGCATATTTTTCAAGTTCAAGGCAAGTTCAATTAGTTAGTCAAACAACCAGTCAGCAAGTCAGCTAATTAGTCAGTTAAATAGTTGTAATGAATGAGCTCTGAAGCCAGTTAGCTAGTTAATTGGCTAATCAGTTAGTTATCTATTTAGCTGCCTAGTTAGTTAGATAGTACTGAAGGTATTCCCCTAATATTACCCTTCCCTGACTAGTGAAATATTTAGGGAACACTAGCTAGGGGTATACCAAGAGATACTGAAGGAATACTAGCGCAATACTAGGGAATACTAGGGCAATACTAGGTACATACTCAGGGAATACGAGGGCAATATTAAAGGTGAATACTGGGATAATACGCCGGAGTACTGAGGGAATACTAGGGGTATACTCTCAAGCTCAATCTGTCTGACTTCTCTCAGGCTTCCTGACTAGGGCAATACTAGGGCACTACTAGGGAAGTACTAGGAAAATATTTATAGGTGAATACCGGAAGAAATCTAGGAGAATACTGAGAGAAAACTAGGGGTATACCAACAGAATACTTAAGGAATACCAGGGCAATACTCAAGGTATTCCCCTAGTAATTCCATCCCTTTACTAGGGGAAATAGCAAGGGAATACTATGGGGTAGTGAGGAATTACGAGGGGTATACCAAGAGACTACTAAATTAACTGAATACTAGTGCAATAATATGGGAATACTAGGGCAATCATAGGGCAGTACTAAGGAAATACTCAGGGAATACTAGGGCAATATTACAGGTGAACACTAGGATAATACTATGAAAATGCTGAGAGACTACTAGGGGTATACCAAGAGAATATTTAAGGAATACTAGGGCAATACTGAAGGCATTCCCCTAGAATTACCCTTGCCTTACTAGGAAATACTTGGGGGCACACCAAGAGAATACTAAAGGAATACCAGGGCAATACTAGGGAAATACTCAAGAAAGACTAGGGCAATATTAAAGGTGAACACAGGGAGAATACTAGGGGAGTTCTGACAGAATATTAGGGGTATACCAAGAGAATATTTAAGGAATACTAGGGCAATACTGAAGGTATTCCCCTAGTATTTCCCTTCCCTTACTAGGAAATACTCGGGGCATACCAAGAGAATACTACAGGAAGACTAGGGCAATACTAGGGAAATACTCAAGGAAGACTGGGGGAATACTAAAGGAGCATACTAGGAGAATGCTAGGAGAATGCTGAGGAAATACGAGGCTCAATTTGTCTGGACAAGTCACCAGGGCAATACAAACTCAGAAAATACGAAAGCGTCGCATGCGTTCTTGAGGTTATCAAAGGTCATATCCTCAGGCTCCTTGGCCATGCTAGGACAGGGTCACAGAAGAGGAGTAAGGAAGCGCTGGAGCCAGACAGCTTCAAATATGGGCTCGGTTCTGCTCAGATGCCAAGGAACACTGAAAAAAACTGAAAATACGGAAAAACACCGAAAAACTGAAAAAAAACTAAAAAAACTGAAAAACCAAGGATTCTGAGGGACATGGCTGGGGGGGGTCATGTCCCTCAGAATCCTTGGTTTTTCAGTTTTTTCAGTTTTTTTTCAGTTTTTTCTCTTTTTTTAATATTTTTTCAGTTGTTTTCAGTTTTTTGCAGTTTGTTCAGTTTTGCAGAGAGTTTCTTGTCTGAATTGTATTGAGGAATTGCCAGAGAGTTTCCAGAAAGCTTCCTTGAAAACTGAGAAAAAACAGCCTGACAACTGAGGGTTCTGGCAGATTCAGGCTTTTTGTCAGAAAACACAGTAAATACCAGTGTTTTCAGACCAAACCTGGGTTTTTTTGAGGGGGGGTACCACATATATATATATATATATATGTATATATATATATATATACACGTATACATATACGTGAGTATACATATATATATATATATATATAATATAGAATCCATATTAACCCATTTGGGGACCTCAAAATGCGGAGCTTGGTAGGGTTGGTTGCATCCAGGTTCAGCACGTTCTCCCGGTTCGACCTCAACTTGCAACAGGCGGCCGCGCAGGCGGACGCGCAGCTCAACCGTGCCTCGGCTCGAGCATTCGAGTGGAATATGGGCGTTTCTCAAGATGGTGGACCCCACTTTCGATTGGTCTTTAAGGGAAACCAACGGGAACCCCTAAATCAACTCGTCCCTTGTGAAGCCGAACAAATTGCGGGGTTCAAGAGGTAGGCATCACAAGCTTGAGCTGGACGGGCTAAACCGAAAGAAAGATCATAGTGAATGTCCCTTACCTGGGATTGATCATGTCCAGTTTTGAATTATAGTGGTTCGCCCAGGAAGCTAGGGTAAACCTAACACTGTCTGTCTTTGTAGAGGCATCATGGCATCATGCCTCCTCAAAACCCAGGCTTTTCAGCAATCGACCTCTGAACATCTCCTAGTTTTGGCGTATAGACAAGTAAGCAATCAAAAACGTGAAGTGACGGCAGGACCGTCTTGCCATCAATTGGTGTGGCAAGGCTTCCATGTTAAGGGACCCAAGAGCGCCAACCGGGTTTTTGTATTTTTGGTAGGTCCCCCCAAAGAATGTTGTGCTTGGGAAAGGCGGTGGGTTTTCGCAGCTTGGATTGGGCAGCAGCCTCAGATCTTCTCGACAGTGCGTTGTAGAGGAACACCAAGGATAGAAATACTTGTAACGCCCAGACGCCGTTGAGCGCCAGGCATGCGGCGTGTCGAGTCGACGTCAGCTAAGACAACACATTTTCTTTGTGGTCACGCCAGAGCCACACATTGTGTTGCCCGGCGCGCCGGTTTACATCCGAGATAGCGCGTGAGTGACAGGCAATTCGTTCTCGCAGCTGGCTTCCATCATTCGGATGGCATCCGCGTGTCAAGACACACAAGACGGTTTTGTTCTTTGATTCGGTCTATGAATTAGCCAAAAGAACTTGAGCCTGGAAGCTCGTCGTGCTTGTCCAGCACAGCCCGGCCGTGAACGCGCGCTCGCATGACTGAGTGTTCAGACTGCGTTGTGTGTTGCCCGGCGCGCCGGGTTATATCTGTCACGCAGAGCACGAGCGCCCAGCTTAGCGGTGCGTAACATCGATGTCAGACGCTTGGATATCACAATGTCGTCGTGGACTCCTGATCCGCACTCTGCGTCGCCTAGGGCGCTGGGTTACGTCCGTTAAGTAGCGCGCGAGCGCCAAGCAAGCGGTTCGTGTACTTGGCTTCCATCATTCGGATGGCGTCCGCGTTTCCAGAAATGCAACACGGTTTGTTCTTTTATTCGCTTTATGAAGCAATGAAAAGAACTTGAGCCTGGAAGCTCATCGAACACACGCTCGCGTGACTAACTGTTCACGCTGCGTTCAGACTAGACGTCGCGCGTCGCCCGGCGTGCCGGGTTACTCTGTCAAGTAGCGCGCGAGCGCCAAGCAACCCGCGCGTAGAATCGACGTCAGGTGCTTAGATAGCAGTGTCTTGATAGACGTCAGGCGCGCGCGTTGCATTTACATCCGTCCCAGCAGTGGCTCGCACAGTGGCAGTAGGCTTCCCTCGCTCGGATGGCAGCCGCATGATCAAGACAACGTTTGTTCATTTATTTGTTTTGCGGAGCTGCTAAAAGAACAGGTGCCTGAAAGCTAGTCGCGCGTTTCTCGCGCAGCCCGGCCGTGAATATGTTCGCACGATTAACGTTGGGCTGCGCAGACTAAGCATTGTCTGTGTCACCCGGCGCGCCGGGGTACGTCCGTCGCGTAGCGCCCAGACGACTTCGAGCGCCAGGAATGCAGCGCATTCGGCCGACGTCAGTTGAGACAACACATTCTCTTTGTGGTCACGCCAGAGCCACACTTTGCCCGGGTTACGTCCGAGATAGCGCTTGAGTGACAAGCAAATGGTTCTTGCAGCTGGCTCCCATCATTCGGATGGCATACGCGTGTGAAGACGCGCAAAGCTGTTTTGTTCTTTTATCCGGCTTTTGAAGTAGTACAAAAAATTGAACCTGAAAGCTTATCGTGCTTGTCCCGCACAGCCCGGCTACGAACACACGCTGACTAAGTGTTTATGCTGCGTTCAGACTAGGCGTTGCGCGTCGCCCGACGCGCCGGGTTATGCCAAGCAAGCGGCGCGCGAAGGCGATGTCAGATGCTTAGGTATCACAATGAATTCGTGGACGCCACATCGGCGCTTTTCGGCACCCAGCACGCCGGGTTTACGTCTGCCAGGTAGCGCGTGAATGACAAGCAAGCGGTTCTTGCAACTGGTTTCTATCATTCGGATGGCATCCCCGTGCGAAGACGCGCAAGGCGGTTTGTTCCTTTTTTCGGTTCACGAAGTAGTGAAAAGAACTTGAGCCTGCAAGCTCATCGCGCTGGTCCCGCACAGCCCGGCTACGAACACACGCTCGTATGACTAAGTGTTTATGCTGCGTTCAGACTAGGCGTGGTGCGTCGCCCGGCGCGCCGGGTTATGCCAAGCAAGCGGCGCGTAAAGGCGATGTCAGGTCCTTAGATATCACAATGAATTCGTGGACGCCGCACCCGCACTTTTTGCCACCGGCGCGCCGGGTTACGTCCGCCAGGTAGCGCGTGAGTGACAAGCAAGTGGTTCTCGCAACTGGCTTCCGTGTTCGTAGGGCACCGGCGTGTCAAGACACACAAGACGGTTTTGTTTTTTTATTCGGCTTATGAAGTAGTTAAAAGAACTTGAGCCTGGAAGCTCATCGTCAACACTTTGTCGGAAGACTGACCCGCAAAAGCGCGCGAAAAGGTTTAAGGTCAAAGTAAGCCCCGCGGAAGCCAAAACGCACACTGCGAAAGCATAGCGAAAGCAGCGGCGAAGAACCCTCCCACTTGAAGCAATCCACAGAAAGTTTCGGCCGCTGCTTAATTGGGAAGCAAGAGTGTTCGGCCCTCTCCCGAGTTTTTGCCTGACTAGTGTCGCACCCTGGAGGTTGACCCCCCTGTGAGCTTCGTCGCGCCGAATCACTTCGGAGGGAAGTGCCCTAGAGCTCATCCGTCCAGTTGGGTTATGTTTAAAACTGCTTCTCAAGTTGCAGCTGCTCCTGATCTTGTCTGGGAGGTTGCCAAGAACCCCATGGCCCTGTGACCCCAATCACGTCGAATGAGCTCGGAGGGCGGTGTTGCCAATTTGTACTTGCCTAGTCAGCATTTAACAACAGGAGCCTTTTCGAATTTACCCCATGCGAGACGGCAGTCGCCGGCTTAATCAGGAAAATCCAGCTGATTCAGCGCACTAGAAGTTTGCCACCGGCGCCCAGGATTTTGAAAGGCAAAGGGGAAGATCAAGCCGATTTAGCGCGCTAGAAGTTTGCCACCGGCGACCAGGATTTTGAAGGCAAGGGGTAAAGTCAAGCTGACTCATTGCGCTAGGAGTTTGCCACCAGCAACCAGGATTTTGAAAGGCAAAGGGGAAGATCAAGCTGATTCAGCGCGCTAGAAGTTTGCCACCGGCAACCAGGATTTTGAAAGGCAAGGGGCCAAAGCGTCCAGAGGCTGCAGCTTTGTTGCTCGAGACAAGCTTAGTGGGTTACTTGAGCCGAACCACGACTTATGCCTTGCACTCCTTCATGCGTGACCCTCTGGATAACTTGTGACTGTCCTGTTGGGTAGATGCGAGTTTTGGTGACTGTGTAAGCACCATGAGGAGTTGTTCGGGTTACTTCGTTGCGCTTGAAGCCGAAAACTCTTTCCTTCCTCTTGCGTGGGTAAGCCGAAGGCAAACTGTCACCAGCCGATCCACGACTGAATCCGAAACAGTGGCTTTGGCCACCGCCGTGTACAATGATGTGATGCCCTTGGAGATCGCTTGCAGCCACCTCTTTGGCCGTGAGATTCTTGTGAAGTGCTGGGAAGAGATTTTCTTCCAAATTGAGACACTTGCAAAAGACTCACAAGATCAACATCGCCTCATTGTCAGAAGCATTTGAAAACCCAATTACGAATGAGATTACATTGTGACAGCCGAGCAAAAGGGAGATATCTTGACGAAGGCGCTCGGCCCTCAGAAGTGGGGCGCTGCCCTCGGCTTGATTCATGTTGGGGGTTGTCCGCAACAATCAAAGCCTGAATGAACACCTCACCTGCCCCTGCCGTGTTTGGCTAGCTTTGAGCGCCTCACACCATGAAGCGAACTCAATTAGTTTCACGAGAAGTGAATTGCATGACACTACTTGGCTCTCACCAGGTCGCTGCTAGACACCCTTGTGTTCCCAGGTTGAAGTTTTCGTGTCTTGGTTTGCATTGCAGTAAAGAAACTTGTGTGTGCTTGGAATCAGGGGGGGCGACTTCGCGCCCTAAACCGGTGTCCTTGTGAGGCGGCCGGGCATGCCGCACTTGAGCATTTGCCAAATCTTAGACAAACATAGTTGATTGCAAAATGCATCAATGGGCTTTGAATATCTTAGCCATACAAACCAGTGCAGCATTTAATGGTGAGCTTTGTTGTTCCCAGTTGAGTGCCTTGCTTCGTCATGGCTTTTGTGCCGGCATCTCGACTCTTGACAAGCTGTTTTGCCGCTCTTGCGCATCTGCTAGCAACTTGAGATGGCACCCTTGCCTGGATCATCAATTCGTATCCATGTCATTAATTCGAGAATTGTCTTTTGGTCGCCTTCTAAGTTGATGCAATCATTCTAGCAAGGGGTGAAGCCACCCTTCGCTGCGACCCGTCCTGCGCCTGCCCAAATTGCAAGAGGGGGGAGTTGAACAAACCCACCTTTTCAAGGGGCGTGTTCCTCTTAGCTTCCTCTCCGGGTATGGTGCATGAGTTTTGTCATTTGCCAATCATTTGGCTCAAGGCTGTGAAGGGCTGCCATAGTACTGGACATTCTTGAATCACTTGAACTCTGGTATTTCAACTTAAAAGGACCTGCCAGGTTCCATAGCAACGGAGGGTTTTTCAAAATGGGTGGCTTCACGTTTCCCGAAATAAACACACTCAAAAAAGGCCACCCTCAAAAAACACACACCCAGGTCCACTGAAGTGGTTGATCTGATGAAGAAAGCACTTGTGTTTTCCATGGCCCAAACTTGTGCCGGGCAATTAAACCATCGCTCCAGTCGCGCATGGCGCAGAAGGCGCGTGGCAAATTTGGCAGAACCACTGTCCGCTCTCACGCGATCTTTTCTGCTATCGGCTCCGAGGAGCATGATAAGCCGATCCAGCCTTCTACGAGCACCCAAAGATCCATGGAACATGCGACGGGAAACAAGACGTAATGTGTCTATGCCCCCTGCTCAGGAAACGCGCAAACGACAATTTGCAATCCAGGGCTAATGGAGGCCCAAGCCATACTTCGCAAACTGGGATGGTCTTAGGTTGCACATGAAGGCGTTTCTGAAAATACCCCTTTTGGGAGGGTTTGAAGGGAAACCAACCTGGTCCCCTATTTTGAGAAAACAGTGAAGTGCAATCGCGCGCTAGCCAGGACTGGTGACACTCTGGGTCACTCCCCTGAAATCCTTTCTTCCGGGCCCGCGACCCGCTTCAGACATGCTGTTTTTAACTACTCTACAAGAGGTATCAAAGTCAGTTTGGGTTCCTCTTCCAATAGGACCGCCAAGGGGAACGACTTTGATGATGCTAAAATAGCAGGGGAATGAACGGTTGATGCACAAGGAAGCCACAAGGGATGGTTCGCTTCGGGGTCGTTTTTTTTTGATTCCTTGAGAAACAGCATGATCCGACCCCTGAGTAGCACTTGGACTGCTGGACAGTACTCACTTCCAGAGTCTTTGGACTTAACTTTTTTGGGGGAGCACCACTTTGGTGGTAAACAACGAGTTTAGACTGTGTTTGGGCCATCTACTCAGCAAGTGAGATTACCAGCTCGAGAAAATACATGTTAATAGTTCCCAGACAATTCCATGGCTCCTTGAATCCCTTTGGTTTGGGTCAACTTTTGGACCATGTTACATCTTTTAAATCCTACCATGGGCTCGTTCTGTAGGTTCCACCTCCCTCTTGGAATATGGGGTTTTCTGCCTTCCAAGACGCATGGTTTTTCCGAGAAGCCTCGAACCCGATTCGGGTTGTTGGCATTCAGCTGAAGCACGGCCAGCTGACCTTTGGGTGTCCCTTGCTCCCAGAGTTGGACATGAGTTACTTTTTGGGCGTCACCATGGTTGCAAGGATTTTCGGCCAATCCACAAAAGCAAAGTGAGTTACCCTACGCTTGGTATGCAGAACCCTGCGGTCCCTGTAGCACCCCGAGTTGCCGAAACGGTGTGTAAGCGCATTGGAGGCATTCCGCGAGTTCCCTCGATCGGACCCTTAGGGCACCCGAGGTTTTATCAGTTTTGGTCCAGATTGAATTGAGTCAAGGGTTCCAAAAGGTGATTCATTTCTTTCCAGGTCCTTTGGGCAACTTATGCCATAGGCTTCTTCCCTTCGGCTTCCAAGCTGACGGTGTCCCTAAGGTTTAAGTTACCCCCAAACCGGGAAACAAAGCACCCTACAAACAAGAAAGAAAAACAAACACCGTAAGGCAAACCCCATGACAACGCTAAAACCCCAAAAATCCGCCCTGGACGTGACGCCCTGTGACCAAACCTGTGGGCCCCGTGGGGTTTCAAGCGTCTCGACGTCCGCTTCCGGCGTCCGCTTCCGAGGGCAGCGCTTCGCGGCGAGCCGCGGCGGCACCGAGGACATCGAGAAGCGCTTCTTGGGGCCGCTGGCTCCGTGGCTCCAAAAAGGACGCACCTGGAGTCTCCTTCTGACCCGAAACAAAAATGGGTCCATGACCCCTTTATTTTGGGTGACCCCATTTTTAAGGGTCAGAAGGAGACTCCAGGCAGGGCCAAAGGTTTTGGTCGGTGGGTTTGGCTTGGGCCTGGGCTTGGTCGTCGGTCTTGGCTTGGATTGGGGGCTTCTAGGTCCCCCGGCTAGGTGCCAACTTTTATCGTTTCTTTTTTGGGGGCAGGGGTCCCCTACGAAAAAAGACAAAAAAGAAAAGAAAGGGTACCCTTATTCGAACCTCTCCACTGGAGGACCTAGGCTTGGTGTTGGTCTTGGGTTGCTTCGAGTAGGTCTCTCGAAGAACGCACCCTCAGGAGACGGCTTGGGAGGGAAAGAACTTGTAAATGGTTCATTGACATTCAGGAGTCCGTGTTGGCTGGGGTTTCTGTCAACGATTGTTGCCCAACTTTCTTTGGTGTGAGCATGTTCAGGTTCAGCACCCTGCCTTCGACCTGTTCTTTGGCCTGGCGCGCTGGGGAAGGGATGCAATGGGCATGGGCCTAGGGTTGGTCTTATTTCGTCCATGACAAGAGATGACGACTCCTGATAGTTTGGTTGAGCAACGGAGTGCTTTCCATTGTAAGCCAAATGCATTCGCTCTTCTCAGCTAAGCTTGCATGCTTGTTTGCACCAAGATATTATCGATGTATTAAGAGTACGCTGGGAGTTCCTCTTAGAAAGCCACTATACAGTGTTGTTTCAAGTTGTTTTGCAGGCTGGAGTTATCACAATGTGCTACATCGCAGACCGCATGGGCCTTTCGGGAGATGGTTTTCCACCGCGACTAGAATCCGTCCCCCAGCTACCTTCAGAGGTAGTTTCATGGCAGTAGGCGTCCCAAGAGTTGCTTGCCAGACATCAACCATATTGGTATACGTCTTTCTTGGCCTTCCGGGATCGACCAAGGGGTCCGGCTGGATGAACGGAGCAAGTGAGCAGGGGACATGTTGTCCATGGGGGCTGGGGGGGAGGGAAGGGAGGGGGAGGGAGCCCAAATAAGACCGCTGGGTAGTAGGAAGGGTTTTAGCCAGTTTTTGGGTGGGGCGCCTCTTTATTGGGGGCTCCCTCACCGCCTCCTCCACTCCAGACCTCACCCTGCCCCGCCACCCGCCTACATTCCCATCCCTCCCCCCCCCATCCCCTCCCTCCCTCTCCCCTCCCTCCCCCTCCCTCCCTCCCCTCCCTCTCCCCTCCCCTCCCTCCCCCTCCCTCCCTCCCCCCTCTCCCCTCCCCTCCCCTCCCCTCCCTCCCCCTTCCCTCCCTCCTCCCTTTCCCTCCCCCTCCCTCCCTCCCCCCCCCCCTCCCCCTCCCCTCCCTCCCCCCCAGCCCCCATGAGTTGTTGCACGTGAAGCAAACAAGCAAAGGGGAGGCTTCCAAGATTTCCGAGCACCAGCCAGTGCCGGGGTTGGAGCCACTTAGTGCGGTGTATCACCTGCGACCAATTGTGTTTGGCGTAAGTTGAGTTCTTGCTGAAGCACCTTTGCTGTTCCGCTCGGTGGAGGCTGCAGGTATATGAGGCATTTCATCCAATGCAAGCTGACATCCAGAGGCAGATCCATGCTATTCAGCTCAAAGGGCTACGCTGCATCATTAAACTAGAAGCTACGTTTGTCAATAGAAGAAAGACTAACGAGCCTTTGCTGCAAAAGGCTAACGCAGAGTCATTCATGCAGATCGAGCTATTTTCGGGCCTCCTGTGGCAAAAACGAGCAAATTTAGCTGGACATGGTTTCAGGCGTAATTAGAATGACCAGGCAAGCAAACCTTGAGCCAAGCAGCGCTTGTGCTTACCCAAATGACAAAAGCCGCATTGGGGGGGCCGAGACAGCAATGGAGGAAGTTCGCGCGCTAATATATACATATACATATATGTATATATATATATACATATATGTATAGACATATGTATATATATATACCCTGGGGTTCCAAAGGCGGTTTTTTTTTGCATGTTTTCTGTGAAAGGCGGTTTTTTTGCCGGGAGTAGTTTTGTCCAAGCTCAGCTGATACCATTGAACAATTCAGGCGCGGCACGTGCTCAGGACCAAAGTGTGCAAAGACTTGACCTCCGTTCCCGCAAAACAAGCGGAGGGATTACCAAAGGACAGGCTGAAACACATAGATTCACCGGTGTCAAAATTCACGGCAGAAAACGTGCTTTCATGCTGGAAAACAGGCTTTCACGCCAATTTCACGGTATTTTCACTGTGATTTCACGCTACTTTTGCGTGCATCACGGACCGCTATGTTCACACCAAAATTGTTGTGTCAAGGCATGTTGGGGTGGAACAGGCTTTGTAGAATCTAAACGTGGCAACAGTATGAATAATCCATCAAATACCACGCCATGGCTCATTGCAGGCGCAAGAAACAGGCTTTAGCTGCAAAAAACAGGTGAGGTGCAAAGGACGTTTAAAAAACAGTCGTGGATTTCCAGGGTATATATACACCCGGCACATATTCAGGGACCCCCGACATGAGTTTGAAGACACCTAGGAGCAGAGCCGATCACTAGCGAACCGGGCGAGACAGTGCCCATGGCAGAAGCAAGAATCGCCGAGGCTTCAGTCAGGTTTTTTCAGCAGGACCCCAGGCAAGCGTCAACAATGCTTTGGATCTGGACATCAGCTTGGCGGTTTATTACCCTGCCACCCACTGACGTTTCCGCACCCACCAGACGTCCCCTTCTAGAAGAACCTGTTTTCTTCAGACCCACGGTACAGTCCAACTGCCTCCCCGGAACCCAGCTTTGCAGTTGCCTGGGCATCTACCAGTTGCGGTTGTTGAACACCTGTTCTGAACAGAATAGTTGGACTGGCGGAGGCGCTTCTGAGCACAAGTCAGCGCGGCTCGAAGCTCGAGTCCAGGCCCCAAGTCCGTAACAAAACCCCTTGAAGCCGGCTCGCCCAGTTCCAGCCCGGATCGACCTCGACCGTGGCTTTCGGTAGGTGGTGGTCACCAATGCGGTGTTTATCGGGATCGAAGTCCAGGAGCAAATCAGGCGGGGGGCGGAAGCCAACCAAACGGCGACATGCTTCGTCAAGTTTCAATTTTACATAGTTTGCTTGCCAAGCTGTTGAACCCTGAAAGCACGTGAGTCAAAAAAAAACACAAAAAAAAACGTTGTATGTGTCAATGTCAGGCATGATCCCAGGTCTTTTGGACCTATCAAATTAGCTGCACCGCCGCTTGTAATTTGAATGGCAGGAGTGTGTTGCAGGAGCGGCCGCGCAAGTCAAACATGGGGCCGCGCAAGTAAAGCGCAAGTGACGCGCAAGTGAAGCAGTGATGATTCATCATCATCATCATCATCATCATCATCATCATCATCATCATCATCATCATCATCATCATCTTCATCCGCATGGTCGAAAGAATCCGGAAGATTGCTAAATTTTCGCGCAAGTCGCGCGCAAGTCGCGCGCAAGTCGTAGATGCCTTGGATCAGGAGTGGCCCATTTCTGTAGTTTGCACTTTCTTTGTTTCTGCAGATCCCAGCAATGAGTTGCAGCAGCAGCCAGCAGCAGCAGCAGCAGCAGCCAGCAGCAGCAGCCGCAGCAGCAGCAGCCAGCAACAGCCGCAGCAGCCAGCAGCAGCAGCAGCAGCCAGCAGCAGCCAGCAGCCAGCAGCAGCAGCAGCAGCCAGCAGCAGCAGCAGCAGCCAGCAGCAGCCAGCAGCAGCAGCAGCAGCCAGCAGCAGCAGCCAGCAACAATTTGCAGCGGTGTAAACACTTGAGACCTCATACACTTAAGGGGCATGTTTTTGGGGGACCTCACTCTTATGAAGACCGCCGCTTGGATTTGCAATGAAAACATCCTGGGATAAGAGTTTTAATACGTTTTTTTTTTTCCAGCTCA